CTTTAACAAAAGCAAACATTCACCTAAAGCACGTTCTCCAGTCATTTTTTGTAGGATTGAAACCATGCTCCACAGGGTTAATGAGGTTAAAACTGTTACCAGCAAGACTCCCAGGAACACCCCTTCTTCTTCACAGGAAAGTTAACCTTACATTTCAGAGGCAAACAGCAGGAAAAGCCTGGCAGCCTGGACCAACTTGAGCTCATCCACCAACTCCTCCTGCACAGAAGGACCATGGAGCGTGACTCTGCCTCTTATAATCTTAAATCCCTGCCCTGGGAGGAGCACAAGCTTCAGGAACACCCCACAGGATACATCACAGTTTGTGTTCTCAGTTCCCTGCACCACCTTATGTCCACCTCTACCCTGGATGACAAAACTCCCCTTTGTGAACATTCATCCTAACCCTGAATAATGGCACCCGCTCACCCCCACTCAGGGAGCCACAGCTTTGGAAATTCTTCCCCTGATCTCCTCCTCTGCTGCAGATCAAGTTTCCTTTGTGTGACAGTGATGTGGGAAACAAAGGCAGAAGAAAAATTATTCAACTTCCTTACTACCTAGAGCCCACCGAAGTCCTTGAAACAGGCAGAGGACATTCCTCTAGGGACTCAACTGCTTCAATGTTAGCGCTTTGCTAAGGGCAAAAGGCAATGCTAGCCTGAACCGACCCCAGGATCCTGTAAGTCTGTTTTAATGTATAAAAATTCCTTTGGAAACTTTATCTCTAACCCCCCCAAGAGACGTGTTGGCAATCATCCCCCAAGCATATGGCCCACCGATATACAACTGAGGGGTCTCACGTCTAAGGGTTTATTAGACGGTAATACATGACCTTTTCCCAACAATAGCTAGCCCACTCAAGGTCCTGGAAGCCTTGCTTCCAAAATTCCTCGGAGACTTACACTATCCCTAACCCCCTCCCGACTTGAAAGTCCGTAATGGGCCGCTCCTCCCGACCCCGGTGCAGCTCCTTCTGCCCACGGGTCCCGTCCCCATGCTTTAATGAAACTACTTTTTTTGAACCAAAGATGGCCCAAGAATTCTTTCTTTGCCATTGGCTTCGACCCTCACGCTCTTTCTTACGTCACTGGGACACCTGTGCCGGCTCAGGCGACAGCCTAATCTGTGTGTCTGTCCTTCCTCCTCAAGGACAGGTCTCCCCACAGAGGAGTCTCCCCTACAGGAGCCTCTCAATAAAAGAGGCTCAGAGACAAGGTCTCTGGTTTTCGTCTCACCTCCTCCTTCTCTGAGAGGCTGTGAGGAGCGGTAGCTGCGCCCACTGCCGTGAGCTGTAGCCCAGTGAGAGTCCGCCTCGGCCTCGGCCTGCAGCCCCGAGATGCGCAGAAGCCCCGCCTTGGCCGAGGCGTCTTTGCAGCCCGAGAAGCGGCCGGGGACCCCGGAGCCCTGGTGCTTCTCGGAGTCTGAGGAGAACCTCGGCAGACACCGGGGAGGGCTCCCTGGCCGCTGCCTGATCCAGTCGATGTTAGAGCCGCCCACACCGCTGTCCCTGCTCAGGGTGCAGGTGAGTCTGGCCGTCGTTCCCGGAGACGCCCAGAGGGAGGGCGGCCGTGTCCGCAGGGGCTGGGACTGGGAGCCTGCAGACACACACATCAGAAGGAAGAGAAGGAATGGGGTGCGTGTGCATGAGGAGCTGAGCCAGAGGGATCGGACTCAGGCTGGGGGGCCGCCCTCGGGCAGTGGGCCCTGTCCCCACCTGTGCAGTGACAGAGGCGTGCAAGGAGGACGGGGCTCCAGGCCATGGTGTCACAGCCCCTTCTTAGGCCACGGAGCTGGGGCTGGGCTGCCCCGGGCCTGTCTTATCCCCTGTCCAGGGGCCGCACAGAGCAGCTGCTCATGCAAATGTGACCCTCCCCCCCCGCTTCTCCCTGCTGTGCACTCCCAGGCCTGTGGCCCCTTGACGGGGTAAATTCCTGATGCACTGGTTTCTCCCTGGTGGGCCTGGAGGAAGCAGCTGCTGGGACCGCACGCAGGCCAGGTCTAGGGACTGGTCCAGGTCCAGAGAGGACACGACAGCCCAGTTCCCACTGAAAGCAAGGGGCCCAGCCCTAGGGCCTCCTGTCGGTGGAGGACTGCCCAGCTGGGAGCCCTAGCCTGCATGAACACCCAGATGCCGCCTCACCGCACCCCCTGCTCGTCTCTCGGCAAACACGTCCTTCTTTCGCACTGCTGGCAAGCCTCTCCTTCACCTGCTCCTCTGATTCCTGTTCGCACCAGGTGACAGTGACCCTCCAAGGAAGGACCGAGGTCCTGGTGTGCTGTCCCTGCTCAGGCTTCCTCCGTGGACAGGGGTCCAGCAGGAGGTACATGAGCAGTCCTGACCCAGGAGAGCCTGTGGACCGCCGTGGAGCTGAGGGCCAGACCCGGGGAGCAGAGAGCAGAGGGAATCTGTCCCTGTAGGAGGCTCTCAGAGGTGGGCTGGCTCTGGGTGCTGAATGTGAACAGGAGCTTGTGGAGGGGACGCACACCTTCAGAGAGGAGGGCACAGAGGGTGGGAATGCTGGGTCTTTCCTGAGCAGGGCTGACAGGACAGAGTAAACCCTGAAGAGGCTCCTGGGGCGTCTGGAGACAGGGCAGGGCCTGAGTGTCCAGCAGCGACCAGTGCGGGGACATCCTGTGACCTCTCGTCCACTTGCTGTGAGATTCTTAATCCCAGCTGGGCCTGTCCTCACTGTTGCTCATTAGAGAATTAGCTCCATGGGCAGTCCAAGGACAGAATTTGGGACAGGGAAACCTAGAAGGGGCCATTGGGGGGGAGGGGGACCGGAGGAAGATGACAGCCAAGGAAACAGGGAAGGGTGAAGTGGCTTGTGTCCCCAGGTGGGACACAGGGAGTGACTGGGCCCTGGACTGTGGGAGAGGGAGGGATAGTCCAGAGCGTGTGCCAGGTGGATGGACGGGGATGCCTGGAGGGACACAGGTGAGGTCAGGTGGGAGAGCAGGTGGAGGGCTGGTGATGGGTCCGTTGTCCCCTTGTCACATAGAGGCCGTGGTATGACCTGTGCAGAGGTGCAGAAACACTCACAGAGAACCAGGGCCGAGGGATGCCTTCCCTCCCCCAGAGGGAGGACGTGTGTGTTACAGTGACCTTCCGCCTGAGGGCCTAGTCTGCATCATTCATGCATTCATTCATTCACTCATTCACTCTTTAAACACACATTTAAGGAATATCCACAGGTGTCAGATCATTGTTCATCATAGCGTGAAGTAAAATGTGATTTTATATTCATTTCAGAATTTCTTAGCACACTGTGTGTTTCATATAATGTGCATGGTTTCTCTTTGCCTTTCTCAGTGTCTGTGTTTGAGAGTCCAACTTCTATCGCACAAAGGTTCCTACTCAATCACTTTGTGTCCATTTATCAAAAGATTCTTTGATACACTGGAGAAAAGTATGCAATTCTATCTGCATCAAATTTGAAGATAAGGAGGACCTAACACTTAAGAGAAAAAGGAAAAACTGGAAAGAATAATTGTCATATCGGAAAAACACACTGTCAGCTTCTGTAAGTCACCATAAAATATAGAAATAAATGACCAATATCATATTCCTTAGGAAGAGCAACGAAATATCATGACAGTTTGAGAACTAATGAATTTATTGTAGATTCCATCATGAATAAATTGGGGATTCACAGTAATCAGCCAGGCTCCCTGACCTTGAAGAGAGCCTTGAGCCCACCCTAGAACCTGTCTCAGGCATTCTCAAGGCATCCCGGGTCAGAAGAATCCTTTCCTGCTGGCACGGTCTGGAGCCAGTGGTGAGCACGAGGATTGGAAAACTGGATGTGGGAGAAGAACCGTGGGCCCAGGAGCCCCTCACAAAGTTGGAAGGAGCAGAGAGCCTCTCCCTTGCCTCCAACTCCCGGGGGCTCTAAGGAGATGCTGGTTGTCCCAGGGGAGAGCTGCCCTTGGGCGGTGTTTTCATCTCTGAAGGACCATGCTGATGCACACTGCCTACCAGGGGCTCCAGTACCAAGGAGTCCCATCAGTGGGTCCGTGTGTGAGCAGAAAAAGCTAGGGGTCCCCAGGGTTGGTGGGGGGAAGATGGAATATAGTGTTCCTGGCACAGGAGAAGTCATTTTAGGCCCCCAGCTATTTCCTGTGATCTCTGCCCTAGTGGCTCTACTTTCCCAGCACACATCTTGCAGATCTTCCTGAGAGGTGTCAGGATTAAGAAGAAATGCAAAACAAAAACAAACACAAAAACAAGAAAACCAGTAGTTAAGGATTTTAAGGGAAGAAAAGGAATGCAAAAATGGACAATCTCTAACAATCCAGGAAACAGTCTAAGCACATCAGAGACACCCCCCTGGGCTGTTTCCAAGGAAACTAGGCCTTGGCCTCCTTGCCCCAGTTAAGGAGCTCAAACCCTTTCCAGTTAATGCTGGCTCTGGGAGCAGGTCCCTAGCTCCTTCCCCTTGTGGGACAGCCACCTCTGCTTCGTTATAATGTGAAAATCTCTGCACTAGGAGGAGCACTGGCCGCATTCACAGAGCAGAGGATGCCTGTGTAGGCCTGCGCTCTCAGGACTCCTGACCGACCTTACGCCCACCTTGACGTGGGATGACAAAGCTCCCCTCTGAATATTCATCCCAAATAATAAAAAGAACCCACTCACTCCTGCTCTGGGAGTCAAGGCTTTGCAAGGTATTCCCTGTGATCCCCTTATTTGCTGCAAATATGGATTCTTTTGTGTGACTCCACACCTGGCTCGGTCTCTAAATTTAATTCAGGACGGAGCAAACGCATATTAGTTCCCAGACCCCAGTAACTTCATTTTCCTCTCCCTCCCTCTATATATAGCTTATAGTACTTAAATGTATAACTTATAATATACGATATGTATATGCAGCATGCAACTTGTAACATACACATGATATAATATTCATATATAATCTATGGTATTTTATATAATACATGACATTTATATTTACTAGAGTATATATAAAATGATGTAAGTAATAATTCAATAATATAGTGTACACATTTAATATATGTTTATATAATGTGTATATATTATATACTTTTATAATATGTGATATTTATTTATAATAATTTATAATATATGTCACTTTTTTTTCCTTTTCCCCAACAAGGACCCCGATGCCTTGGATGGCAGAGTGCCACAGTCTGGAAGGAAAGCTGGAGGCTCTAAGGTGACAGAAAGAATGGGGCTTGTTTGGGAACAAAGCAGTGCAAATGCCTCCCCCCTCCCACCGCAGCAGCTTTTCCCTTCAGCCCTAAAGGGAACTCCTTGTCTATGAGGGAGGAGGCCAGAGAGGAATCAGGACAGGACAGAGACGCCCCAGAGCTCGCTGGCTGAGGCCACATTGTTGGCTTTCCCCTCCTCCTGTCCCCAGGGGTCTCTTGCCCTGGGCCCCCCCGCAGCATGGCACGTGATTAGTTTTCATGATGCGAACCGCTCCAGGTGTGGGCGGGTCTGTCCCTGTCTGAACACCAGCCTGGGCAAGGCCTCCATGGGGTGGAGGATGAAGCAGGAAGGAGGGAGGGAGTCAGAGCTGAGCCCCCACGCAGCTTCGGGGACACAGGTGCTGCAGCCACACTTCAGTGAAGACACCCCCTGCCAAGTGCGCAGGAGTGAGTAGAGCAGTTCCCCAGCTGGTCTGGACCAGAAGCCCGTCCTCATAGGCCCAGTCCCACAGCGCCACCTGCTGGGCCGAGACACCAAGTCGTCCAGCCCATCTGACACCTCCCAGCGCTCCTGGAATGATGTCCAGACTTCAGCAATTGGATCATTCCAGTATCACTGCCCAGAGCAGTAGAATGAAGAGGTGTCCTCTGTGGTGTTCGGGCTGACAGGTTTTATCCAGATCACTAATGACCTCCGGATGGTTAAATACATGGTGTATTGCACACTGCTTACGTTACCAGGTATTTCAGGATTACTTGACATTGGAGTTTGCCTCTTCCAGGAGCTTGGGGTCATAACCAGTCTACCATCATCTTGAACCAAGGAAAAGGCTTCAAGTTCTCCGAGTACCAAGGTGGTTCACACCTCATAGTAATTCTACACGGACCCGTCTTCCAGTTTGACCGTTGGTGTTGGTGTGGGTTTGGATTCCCCTGTGAGGTCCCCTCAGCCTGCACTGCAAGGACGTTGGATGCCTGTCTCTGCCATGGGAACAGAATTCTGTCAGGGAAATGCGTCCTCTGCTCCTGCTGACTTTTCTGGGTTCAAAGTTTCCTTGAAATTCAGCCTGCAAAATGCTTCTATATTTGACTCTCTCGTATACTTAATATATTTTAAAACAGTTTTATAATTTGGGTGCCTGGGTGGCTCAGTCGGTTCGGCGACTGCCTTCGGCTCAGGTCATGATCCTGGAGTCCCGGGATCGAGTCCCGCATCGGGCTCCCTGCTCAGCAGGGAGTCGGCTTCTCCCTCTGACCTTCTTCCCTCTCATGCTCTCTCTCTACCATTCTCTCTCTCTCTCAATAAATAAAAATCTTTAAAAAACAAAACAAAAATAAATAAATCAGTTTTATAATTTTAATTAGTATGAAGATTGTTATACACAGAACATTACTATAAATGGAGCCCTCCTCTATTGAGGGGTTCTTCCCTCTCTCCTGCACTGAAAACCCTCATGGCCTAATGTGAATTCATGGGGGATGAGTGTCTAAAATCTGGGTCCAAAGAACAGTAAGTGCTTAATATCCACCATATATAAAGAACACATACAAATTAACAACCACCACCACCAAAAAAAAAAAAAAAAGAAGCCCCAACTTAAAAATGGACAGGAGCACCCGAGTGGCTCAGTCGGTTAAGCATCTGACTCTTGATTTGGACTCAAGTCATGATCTCAGGGTCCTCAGCATGGAGTCTGCTTGGGATTCTATCTCTCCTTCTGCCCCTCCCTCTGCTCATGCTCTCTCTCTCAAATAAATAAAATCTTTAAATAAAAAAAAAAATGGACAAAGATTTAAAGAGACATTTCTCCAAAGAATATATCTATGTATATGTATACATATGGCCAAATAATACATGAAAAGATGCTCAACATCATGTGTTATTAGGGAAATACATATCAAAACTATAATAAAATTTTACTTCACATCTACCAGGATGGTTGTAATAAAAGCAACGGAAAATACCAAGTGTTGGTGAGACGTGGAGAAACTGAAACACGCACAGCTGGTGGGAATGTATAACGGTACAGTTGCTGTAGAAACCAGTTTGGTGATTCCTCAAAAAGTTAAACACAGAACTACCATATACCCCAACAATTCCACTCTTAGGTATATGCCTCAAAGAATGGAAAACAGGGATTCAGATAGATACCTGTACACCCATGTTCACAACACCATTATTCCCAATAGCTAACAAGTGGAAACAACCCAAGTGTCCATTAACAGATGACTGGATAAACAAATGGGGGATATGCATACAGTGAAATATTATCCCACCATGAAAAGGAGTTAAATTCTGATACATGCTACAACACATATCATATGTTAAGAGTGAGGAATTATCTCTTAGTTTATTTTTTTGAAAGATTTTATTTATTTGTTTGTTTAGAGCGAGCAGTGGGAGGGGCAGAGGGAGCGGGGGAGAGAGAGAATCTCAAGCACACTCCACCCTAAACGCGGAGCCCAACACAGGGCTCAATCCCATGACCCTGAGATCAGGACCTGAGCCAAAACCAGGAGCTGGACACTTAACAGACTGAGCCACCCAGGCGCCCCTATTTCTTAGTTTATATAGTTTCTGTTTCGCTTGATGGTAACTGGGTGGTGATAATCGGTGACAAGTGTACCATATTGTGAATGTAATTGGAGGGTATGCTAAAAAATGGTTAAAATGGCAAATTTTATGTTCTACATATCTTGCCACAATAGAAAAAAGCAAAGTGATAACCTGTGTGTGTAGCATTCTACCACTTGGGTGAAAAAGAAATGGATGAAGGATACAAATTCAGATGGTTGCATATGTATAAATTATCCCTAAAAGAATACACAGGAGGTTGTCTGCAGAGGACAACTGAGGGGCTGGGGACAGAAGTAGAAGACTTGCACTTCTCCGTTCACCCTTTTGCATGTTTGAATTCTCAATTATGTGCGTGTATTACTTATTTGAAAATTTAATGACTTAAAAAATTCACAGAAGTGGGCTTTAAATAAACATTACGACTCCAACAAATAAACACGCAAAGGTCAGAAAGAATAAACATACGCTGCCTGACTCCCACCTGCACAGAAAGCAAAGTCCTCAGTGTCACCTGTGCCTTGGCCATGTCCTCTTTTCCAGGAAAAGCTGCAGAGAGAGAGAGAGAGAGAGAGGACACATGAGTGCCTGCTCCTGTGGGCCCAGAACTGTCCAGAGAGGACTGCTCACCTCTCCCCCCGCGCCCCAACAGGGCACAAAGGACACGACCACTTGTGCCCCTGGGGCTCTACACCGTGGAGAAAGAGTGGGGCTTTTTCCTTGGCTTCCTTGGCTTTTCTGACATCTCTGAGACATTGACAGCATAGATCCTTTCTCTCTCAGGACCAGCTCCTCCCATAAAGAAAATTCCAGGCCCCAATGGTTTTCAGTGATGAATGAATGCTATCGAACACTTAAAGGCAAAATACACAAACTCCATCAGAAAATCGAAAAGGGAATGCTTCCTAACTCATTTCATGAGGCCAACACAACCTTGCTGTTCAAACTTGACAAATCATGACAAGACAATTAAAGACCAATATCAGGAACATAGATACAAAAATCCTCACCACATATCAGCAAATCAAAAATATATGTATATGTAAGTGTGCAGGTGTGTGTATATCTTCCAGTGGAGTTTATCCCAGAAAAAAAAAAATGTCGGTTTAAGATTAGGAATTTTATGTAGTTAATCACATTAAAATCATATTAAGAGAATGAAGGGGAAAATCATATCTTAATAGATGCAGAAAATCATTAGATAAAATTCTACACTAGTCCATGATTAAAATGCTTAGTGCACCAGTAATGAATTTATTCAGTTGATAAATGGCATCCACAAAAAGTACCTACAACTCACATCATAATAAATAATGACACATTCAATGTTTTAACCCTGATATTAGGAACTAGGCAAGGATGTCTGTTCTCACCATTTCTTTTTTTTTTTTTCTAAGATTTTATTTACTTCTTTGACAGAGAGAGACACACAGAGAGAGGGAACACAGGCAGGGGGAGCAGGAGGGGGAGAATCAGGCTTCCCGAGGAGCAGGGAGCCCGAGGCGGGGCTCGATCTCAGGACCCTGGGATCATGACGTGAGCCGAAGGCAGACGCTCAACGACTGAGCCACCCAGGTGCCCCTGTTCTCACCATTTCTATTTTACATTGTACTTGAAGTCCTAGTCAGTGAAATAAAACAAGAAAAACTAAATAAAAAGCATAAACAGTAAAAGGGAAGAAGTAAAACTATATTTGCAGCAAAGGATCTATGCTGTCAAAAAACATGATTTTCTCCATAGAAAACCCTAAGGAAGCCACAATACACCTTTAAAAATGAATAAACTGAGCAAGGTCATAGGATGTGAGAGTCTCCTGATTTCTTACTAACCTTAATACTCCAATCACATGCCATAGTTAAAATTTTCCCTGTTCATATCACTGTGCAGTTTCTGTCTCCTGGTTGGATATTTACTGATACAACGGTCAGGGGAAAAAACTACTCTTGCCCTCTACTTCACTATATACAAGAAACTAATTTGAATTATATTGTAGATGTAAAGAGAAAAGCTAAAACTATAAAGTCTCCAGAAGAAAATATAGGAGGAAATCATTGTGACCTTGTCGTAGGCAAAGAATTCTTAACTAGGACACAAAAATCACTAACTATAAAAGTTGATAAATTGGACTTTGCCAAAATTAAAAAATGTCTGCTCTATAAAAGACATCATTAAGAAAATAAAAAGGCAACCATGCAGGAAAGCATTAACTCTACATGCCCGGTTTGCTCATGCCCTGCACATTCCCAAGAAAGGCATATTTTCCGAACTGGCCCTTGGATAGCTCCTAGGCACTGAGCTCCTAGAATGTTCTGTTGGATGAGAAGAGTGTTTTGCAAGCCTGAGGCCTTGAGCAACCCTGTGCCAGGTCCAGATAGCTTACACTAACAGTGTGATTCATGGTGAACACCTACTTCCCATCTGGGGGTCTGGAGCTTTAGTAACTGAGGTCAGCCATGCAGCACCATATGCATACATGGCTGACCTCCAGTAAAAAAACACTGGACACCTAGCCTTGGGTAAGTTTCCATGGTTGGTGACACTTTGCACATGTCACACATTACTGCCGGGGAAATTAGGTACATGCCTTGCCACTACACTGGGAGGGGACACGTGGAAGGCTGTGCATGGTTTCTTCTAGACTTTGCCCCATGTACCTTTTCCTTGTGCTGATTTTACTGTGCATTGTTTTGGTGTAATAGGCACTAACCATGAAACAGTAACTTCTGAGTCCTATGAGAGCCCTTCTAGTGGAGCATCAAGCCTGACGGTGGCCCTGGGGATCCCTGAGACGGCAAGCCACAGACAGCAAGCCCTATATATATGGTAATGCAGACATAATACATATAGACATACAAATATAGCAATACAGAACACACACATGGTAACATATGCATATACACATACAACACATACATGATAAGGTCTTATATCTAGAATATAGAAAGAGTTCTTATAGCTCAAAAACAAGAGATCACCCAACCCAATAAAAATATGGGCAAGGGACTTAGGCCTTCATAAAATGAGCTAAGATTAAAAAGACTGACAATACCAAGTGTTAGCCAAGATCTGGAGCAAACACAACTCTTGCACATTGTTAGTGGGAATGTAAACTGGATCAGCCACTTTGGAAGTTTCAGAGTTTTTTACAAAGTTAAACATATACCTGTCATATGAGCCAGCAGCCATTCTACTACTAGCTGTTTGCCCAAGAGAAATAAAATATATGTCTACAGAAAGGCTTGTACACAAACGCCCATAGCAGCTTTACTCATAAAAGCTAAAAACTAGAAGTTACTCAAATGCCCACTGGCAGGTGAACGAATATACAAACGGTGGTATGTTCATACAAGGAGTAACACAGGGCAATAAAAATGAATGAACTGCGAATACACACGTGATATGGAAGAATCTTGGAGACATTTAGTTCAATGAAAATTTTTAAAAAGCCAGATGAAAAATGGTACATATAATATAGTTGAATTTCATGAACTTTGTTTTTTCTTTTTTTTCTTTAACATTTTATTTATTTATTTGATAGAGAGAGAGTGAGAGAGCCCAAGCAGGGGGAGTGGCAGGCAGAGGGAGAGGGAGAAGCAGGCTTCCCACCGAGCAGGGATTCGATCCCAGGACCCTGGGGTCATGACCTGAGCCAAAGGCAGCTGCTTAACTGACTGAACCACACAGGAGCCCCTCTTTTTTTTTTCTTTTTAATTGAAGTATAGTTGACACACAATCCATGAAGTTCTAAAGCAAGTTCTATGACGACAGAAATCAGCCCAGTGGTTGCTTGAAGTGAGAAAAACTAGCAATTGACTAGAGAGAGGCATAAAGGAACTTCTTGGGATGTTAAAAATGTTCCCTGTCTTAATTGGGGTGGTAGGTACACAGATTTATATGCCACATTCCACCACATCCCATTTTATTGTATCTAAGTTATATGGCATTGAGTTGATTAAAAAGAAACTAGCTCCATGAGGCACCTGGATGCTTAAGTCAGTTAAGCATCCAACTCTTAGTTTCCACTCAGGTCATGATCTCAGGGTCATGGGCTCTAGACTCGACTTTCAAATTGGTAACTATCAACCTTACATCTGAGATCATTTTTGATCCTTGCTTAGTACTGATCCTATGTGAATGAATATTCCACTGGACTTACCAATTTCAAAGTATTACATTACATAATTACTGAGATAATTAGCATAATCAGACTGGGAAAGCCCACAGGAATGTTTGCCAAAAAGGTAAGAGGACTTCTCTCTGGGACTCGGGGGGTTAGTATTTATTGTGCTTGTTTGGATTTTCCAATACTTCCCCAGCACCTGTGCATTACTTGTACTGGATGATTCTTTACAATAAAACAGAGATAGTCTCCGCATGACTCGTGAGACCCTCCTCATGGCCCATGTAGTTGCCCAGACACTGTCACTGTCTTTGGATATACACAGGCTATTCCCTCTGCCTGTGGGCCTACTGTATGCCAGGCCCAGCCCCAGCCGCTTCTCCCATTGGTCACTCGGGACCACAGCCCTGAGGGCAGGCCCCCCAACACAGTGCCCCACACAAGTGCTCAGGGGATGGATGGATAGCTAGACGGTGTCCTGTTATCCAGGTCTTGGACCATTGCTCCAAATACCTGGAAGAACTTCTGACTCTGAGCTCCTGACTCAAGCACCCCAGGCAGAAGGAAGAGAAACCCCAGGCAGCAGGCAGGGGTGTTAGGAGCAGGCTTCTCAGAGATGCCCTTCCTGGACCAGGGGAGCCTGTCAGAACCCCAGCTCAAGAAAGGAGACCCATCAGGGCATGAAAAGGCCCAGGCGACCCAGTGTTCTGTGGACTCCCAGGGTCTTTTCAACTTTTGTTCACACTAACACCTTAATCATTATTTTACTAATGTTTTTTAAATTTTTAAAAATCGTGGTAAAGATACACGTAACAGAAAAATTCACCATTTTAACCATTTCGAAGTGTACAGTTCAGTAGTGTTAAGTATATTCACATTGTTGTGCAACCAATCTCCAGAACTCTTTCATCTTGCAAAACTGAAACTCTGCACCCGTTTAACAACAGCTTTCCACACACCCTCCTCCTGGCCCCTGACAACCACCATTCCACTATGAATTTGACTGCTCTAAGGACTTTATATAAGTGGAATCATACAATATTTGTTGAGATGGGGTTTATTTCAGTTAGCATAATGTCTTGGAGCTTCATCCATGTCATACCGTATGTCAAAACTTCCTTTTTTAAGGCTGAATACCATCATGCGTTATATGGATATACCGGTTTGTTTATCCATTCATTTGTGGCTGGATGAACCGGTTGCTTCCACCTCTTGCTATTGTGACTGGTGCTGCTATAAACCTGGTGTGCAAGTATCTCTTTCAGATCCTGATTTCAATTCTTTTGGATACATACCCAGAGATTATATGGTGGTTCTAGTTTTAATTTTTTAAAGAAAAGTTAAAGGGCACCAAAAACTAATGATGTAATATATGGTGATTAACATAACAATAAAAAAATTAAGAAAAGAAAAGTTAAAGAACTTCCATACTGTTTTCCACAGTGGCTGCACCATTTTACATTCTCACCAACAGTGTAAAGGTTCCAGTTTCTCCACATCCACACTAACGTGTTATTTTTGGGGGTTTTTTGTTTTTGTATTTGATTTATAATAGCCATCCTAATGGGTGTGTGGTTATCTTGAAAAGATTTTGATTGTGAAACACACATACAGTGCGTGCAAGAACCTTACGCTGGAGCGGGCAGTTGTATAGAGAACATCCATGGAATTCTTGACACAGGTCATGAAATAAATACTAGTGGTGTCCCGGAAACAGCCCCTGCCCTATTTCTCTTACCATCTCTCTCCCTCACCTCCCTACACTCCCCAGCTAAACACGCTTCTGGCTTTTACAGTAATACTTTCCTTGCTTAACTTCACAGTGTTACCACAACTTTGCACCCATAAACAATAGTTTCTGTTTTGCCAGTGTTTGACCTTGGTATAAACGTAATCGTTTTGTGTGTTACTCTTCTGCTTAACTTTGGGTAGGTAAGATTCATCAACGTTCATACAGCTGTCATTTCTGAGTTTTCCGTATAGAATTTCACAGCAGGAAACTTCACCTTCAGTCTCTTCCGATACAAATCCACAGACAGAGAGTGACGCTGTACCTGTCTCCTGGGGCTTCGGGGCAGGGGTCTCCATGGCGCCACTCGGCAGCGTTCCCCGGAGGTGTGGGCAGCTCTGCAGCCTCCTGGGGCCCAGGCCAGGCCCAGAGGCGCGGGTCCTGCTCCTGGGGCTCAGGGACAGCCTGCAGGGGAGCCCCGGGGGG